AATTTAAACTTTTTTGCTAAGTGTTAAGACATCCAAGTGTAGGACCGCAAACTTCAACGAAAATCTGAGAGAAAATTTTATTTTCGAAAATCTGAGAGAAGACATTTTAATAACACCCATAACAGCTTTTTGCTACTGTGATGACTCCTTATGTAAATATCAAAATATGTTAATAACATCACCTGTATATATCACCTGATCTTCTCTATTCTATGTACTACGTATATCTAATATATACATGAAGCTGTGTACTGATGTACATGCTTCAAACATGCTTTTCATGCTTTTTATTACCATGTGAACTTTATGGGCCCAAAAAACTTTTCATTTATTACTTTATTTGTAACTTGGCATGGCAATTATTGCTCTGCGTCTTTTTTTTTTTTTTTTTGTAACATATTGCCTTGTAACATATTTCAAAATTACCAAGTTGTTCTTTACACATTGCTTGTAATCTTTTAATGAATGGGAAAAGGGAAAAAAATGCAATGTGCTTTGGATGTTCCTTCTCTATTAAAAAGAGATACTATTTTGTTTTCAATTGCAAAAGAAAGAATTACAAATATTTCTTCTTTTTTAAATTTATAAAGACACAATAAAGAAGGAGCGTTACAATGCTACACGCTACATTAAAGACCTGTTAAGAGCAACTGAATGACTGTTCACATGGAAATCGCAGGAATTCGTCTCATACAACAACGCCCCTATAGTTCGTTGCGATCGCAAATTGTTACCCCACCCGCAAATAAACTGCTTTAAAAATAGTTTGGCTGCCAGTTTTATCTTTTTTACCCTAATTATCGACACCCTGAGAATGCATATATGACTGGCCAGTCTCGAAGAGGTTAGCAGTCAACATTACATAAAGGAAGATGAAGTGTAATGATAGATGACCTAAGCTTTAATATTATAATTATTTTAGGAAAGAGGAGTATTTATAAGAGCATATTTATAAGGAGAAAAAAGGAATATTTATGTGTGCTTATCATACATTCATACAATCGTCAACATAGAAATGGTGACGTCATGATGTTAATCGTCAACATACGAAGTTTAGATACAATAGATAGTAACGCCTACTTTAATCTTCTATGCTTTGCTCGTAGTGCGGACCGCATTCGGTAATTAGGATCTTAAGTTAAATGGGGATCAACGTGAATAAAATTTTATTTTCAAACAAATAATGTCCACAAAGTCAAAATTGTTAAAATCTTATGAAATAATAAAAGTGTTTGTAAATATACCTTTATTAAAGCACTTACAACCGAAATGGTACTTAAAAATATCGTAATTTTATTGAAGTTCCGGCAACCAGAGTGAGTTCCTCACAATCAAAACAGTTTAATGTGTTTCCCCTCCAAAGTTATTCATAAAACCTAATCTACGATGGGTTTTTTTTTAAAAAAAAAGAGGAAAAACACGTAGCTAAAATTAAATTAAATATTTATTTCAAATGCTACCAGTATTTAATTTTTTAAAATTTTATTAGGTTTTCTAAAATTACACGATCGTTGCGTAGCTTCTGTTTACTATAAATTCACAAATAATATATCAGAGCTTTCTGCGTCATTAATTGAGAGCGGAAGGCTAGTTATCAGACAGAGTCACAGACAAGGCAGAGAACAGAACTCGGATTCAAATATCATGAAGTAAATCACCATAAAAGCAAGCGCGTGAGCAAGTTGAAGTTCTCGTTTTTGCTGCAAAAATTACTACCTTTTTGTCAAAAGATGCACATCAATTTATAAACAATTGTAGACAGAAAGCTAAATATTTTTCAGAGTGTTATTTGAAAATTTTATTCAAGCAATAAATTATTTTTCAGCAATTTTTACAATCATTGGTTAATGTGTCGCATTAAAATTTAATTCATTAAAATATAACATGCAAAAATTAAAATGGTTAAGACTGAATTAAATTCCTTTTTTATTAATATGATTTAATGTATCGGAGATTTTTTTGCTTTCAAGTATGAATATTTATGAAATTTTACTCATATGATTGTAAGCTATCGTTAAGAATAAATAAGCTTCAAACGCGAATCATCATTGTTATTAATTTTTCTTTCTTTTAAAAGTATAACTAAAGCTTTTTACTAGTTTTTTTAAATAATAAAAGCGTTAACTCTTAATGACATCTTATATTTGTTTATATATACATTTAAACACAACAAATGATGTTTAAATTTACTTTATTTCACGTCTAAGAGTTTTGCAAAAGTACGAATGTTTTGCTAGTTTCAGATTCTAATATTCGCTAATTCTTAAATACTACTTATTTAATTAAAAAGCTTATTATTAATTCTGAAAAAACGAATATTAAAACATCAAAGATAAATAACACTTGCTCGACTTTTAACGGTTATTTGATAAGTAAGTGTCTCGTTAGATGGAATTGATCCATTTTCTTTTTTATTTTACTCACCTTTCGAAAACCTAAATACTGATACTTTAGGTCCATTTTTGTAGTTCCCTTCACATCTTGGAATTGCAGAAGCATATGGCTGTAGAATAAGGCAACGTATATTTTTTAAAAATCGTTTAAATCGACATATCCGAAGGACAAACGAGAATGCTATTCAATGAAGGAAAAATATTTCAAATTGGCGGCTAATCGTACATCACCATAGTATGTGACGTCACTAAAACACCTTGATGATCTCAACAGCCTTTTTTCCCTGTGGCTATGCCTCCTATAATTGAAAACCTCCACACGCTTTTTTGTAGTTAGTCCGATCAGACCACTATGAAGGTAAACCAATTGTAGAAATTTTCCACAGGAAGGCTGTGGACGTCTGGGGTGGGTAGTCGGTGAACCAACTGAATTAGTGAAAGAACCATTTAATATGAAATCAATTAAAAATCAGAAAGTGGTAGTAATTATTTTTTTAAAAATTTGTTTAATTCATGAATATAATTTGTTTGTTTTATTTACTTGTCAACCACTACAGATTCAATTCTCAGATATCTATGATAAATTTCTCTCAAGTATACTTTTAAAATAGAATTTGGGTTTATGCGCACAAGTGGTTCACTTTTTAAATAATCTGCGCAGAATACTTATAAGAAACCGTGTGGAGTCTTTATGATGTAGGAGGTGATGGTCGTGTGATGTGTGCTGGAACACGGTTTAGTATTTCTGCCAACATATCTTGCAAAAACACAAGTTATGAATTTCCATTTAGGCGATTTAGCAGTAGGTATGCCCAATCAGAGAACCATGCACAATTCCGGCCGAAACATTTAGCGCGAAAAATCGTTGGAATGAACGTGGGCGTGTTACGTTCGTGTCAGACACGATAGTTGTAGATATTCGAATGACTTTCGCGGGTGAATGTGCATTCGTCAGTGAACAACAATTGTGCACAAAAACCCGAGTCCACAGCTGTCTGTTTGAGAAACCACGACATATAATTGACAATGTGTCTGGTAATCCGATAATTCCAGACCCTGAAATTTATGAGCAAGGTTGGGATGCATTTCTTCATCTCGCTAGGGAACGTGAACGACTTGTGACAGTGCCCATGTGGAATATTCAGGCTTTTTGCTGATTCTATGCACAATGTCAACCGTTATAAATGTCGGTGCTGTAACACTCCGGCCACATCCGGTATCCTGCATGCAACTTGAAAAAGAACCTCTTTCTCTGGGTTGTTGGTGCAGTCCTTAATCCTTTTGAAGGCCGTGGTAAGTATACTTACCACCACGTTTTACCACTTTTAATTTAGGTTTCCATTTTTCAATAACTTCAGCTTTCTTGAAGTGAGTTTGAATAAAATTGGTAACCATTTGTCACTTTTAAAAAACGTATAAAAGTTATAAAATACATAATTCCTTTTGAAGTTTGTAGCATTTAAGGAATTTATTTTATAAATAAAGAAAAATAAAAGTCAGTAAGTTCCTAATAGGTCATGTTAAATATATTTACCACCAAAAAAATGGCATTTTTATAAACTAAATGAGTTTCTTTTTTTACATCAATTACTGTTCTTAAAACAATTTCAATTCCAAAAATACTTTAATTTACCTTTACTAGAAGTAAAGGGCCCGTTAAAGGGTTAAATTTATTGAAAATTGTTACATTTATTAAAAATTTCGCTGTCAACTAAATTTTTATTTTTATCATAGTCAAATCCGTGTCTAAAAATCTTCTATTATTTATTAAATAATTTTTAAAATAAAAATTTATTTTCCATTAAAAGTAAACAAATTATATGAAATCCTCAGCATTAAAATTTTATAATTAAAATTCAACCTAATTATAAGCTTTGAATTATACAGCATAATATTATTTCCTTGCACACATCCAGTTTCGGGCCAATACAAGGTAACTAACAAATCCAACGATCAGTAAAAACGTGCCATGAAATGAATATATTGCCCTCTATTTACATTTCTATTTTCATATTTTAGAATCTAGCAAACATGTTACAAAAATAATTTCAATAATTTTTGAAAAATGTCGGATTGTCGAAGTATATATGAAATGACTTTATTTATTACATTTTGTGTTTTCTTCTGTATTTTTTTTATTTTTTATTTTTTGGTTGATATGCATATACTCAAGTGCTTAATTTTAGCCAATGGTGTTTCTAAACTGTTAACGTTAACATACATGTGAAATTCCTTTAATAAAGTTGTTCATGTAGGTTCTTCACTTTTTGTCTTTACTTCATTCTTTGGTTTATATTGAATCTTGAAATGCTCGGGTGCATTTTATAATACTCGGAGTCAAGGAAAAATTGAGACACAAACTCTGTTTTGTATCTATATTATGAAATAAATTATGTTTCTTTCTGCGAATAAACGATTCTATTGAGGCAGGAGTTTATTACTTTGCATTTCTTCTAAAAACCGATAAAATCAGAGTTAGGTTGAAATTAGTCAACGGTTGAGTACATTTATGATTGTACTTGATTGACCTATCTTTTGCAAAAGGCATTAAATTATATGATTCAATCGAATCTGAAAATTTTTAATGTAATAAATTACAAATGCAAGTTTTAGTTACTGATATGTTTTAATATTTCAAGAAAGAATGTAATGATACATTATATATATACACCACTTTGCCGCAACTTCGTCGAGTAGGTTCGAACAAATGAGCAGTCTTCCATCGATTGGGATAAGGATCCTGTAGATGGTGCAGAAATTCTAGGAAGAACATTTTTCTGGAATTCACCGGGAAAATTAGAATTTCCACCGGGAAAATATCGTACAACGACGTGTAGCATTGGCTTCCCCGGCACTGGAGCTATACCAATTCCTATGTGTAAAGAACTTCTCCAAATCATTTGTGTGAAATGAAACGCCCCTAATAAGAAATATAAATAATTTGATGAAAATGGTTTTTGAAATATAAAAAAAAGTAACGACTTGACAATAACAGCAATGAAAAACAAATGTTCGACTCTTATAAATTATGTGCGATGAAGTGTTAATTCCATCAAACATACATTAACAGAGATGCCAACTGCTCCGGACGCGACGTAATATTTGACTAATTTTGTTTACTTTTAGACGGTATTCAAAAACGTGATTAAACGTAAACAAAAATTAGAGAATTGAATAAACTTTTGAATTATTNATGTCTGACTTCGCCAGTTGCTGGGAGATTAAACGTATACAAAAATTGGAGAATTGAATAAACTTTTGAATTATTCATAAATAGTGGTAGAGGAAAAACTAATAAATTTAATTTATTTAACCAAGAATCATACATTAATAAACTACCACTGAAAAATATTTATTCGCTGTCCGGAGCAAATTGTCATCTCTTCATTAATGACAATTTAAACACAATTGTACCACATCCATCTAAATTCATAACTTGATTTCCTTCTCAAAAGGTAAGAAGATTCAAACACTTTACTGAGAGGATTAATTTTGTCGAAAAAAAATAGTTTTGTGCGCTGTTAATTAATTACTACGTAAAATCTCAATATAAATCTGTAGTTTAAGTAAGGTGTTTTTAAAAGCTAAAGTGGTAGAAAGTGAAAGAAATATCCAGTTTGTTGTCGATCGTCACTTTTTCCATGCCACAAATGTCGCTTTTTTCGCATTAATATTTTACGTATCATTTTTCTTGTGGTTTAAATTAATAAAATAACTCTCTTTTCAAGAAAATGACAAAGTAATTAATTTAAAAAAGCCTGTATCCAAATTGAAAATTAAATCCTTTTAATTGGCATAACTCCAACTCTAATTAACAAGCTGAATGTATGCCGAAACAAAATCCTACGAAAATTCACCTAGACTCAATGGTTTATCCATAGGAAAGAAATTCATAGAGACCGCAATATTGATCCTATCGAGCAATATATTGATAAAATCAAGTTCAAACTTCAAGCTAAATGTTAAGACATCTAAGTGCAGGACCGCAAACTTCAACGAAACTTTTCTTTTCGAAAATCTGAAAGAGGACATCTCAATAACACCCATAACAGCTTTCTTCTGCTGTGATGACTCCTTATGTAAATATAAAAATATGTTAATAACATGACCTGTATAGATCACCTGTTCTCCTCTATTCAACTGCATGATATAAGCAATAAGTATATCTAATACGTGCATGAAGCTATGTACCGATGTACATGTTTCAAACAACTTGTTCTTATTATATGAACTTTGACCCATGTGAACTTTATGGGCCCCTAAAAACTTTGCATTTATTACTTTATTTGTAACTTTGCACGGCAATTATTGCTCTGCATATTTTTTTCTTTTCTTTCAGTAACACATTGCCTTGTAACATATTTCAAAATTACCAAGTTGTTCCTTACACATTGCTTGTATTCTTTTAATGAATGGGAAAAGGAAAAAAAACAATGTACTTTGGATGCTCCTTCTCTATAAAAAGAGATACTATTTTGTTTTCAATCGCAAAAGAAAGAATAACAAATATTTTTTCTTTTTTAAATTTAATAAGCAACACTAAAGAAGGAACGTTACAATACATAAAGTAAGATGAAGTGTAATGATAGATGACCTATGCTTTAATATAATAATCATTTTAGGAAGGATGAATATTTATAAGAGTATATTTATTAGGAGCACAAGGAATATTTATGCGTGCTTATCATACAATCGTCAGCATACAAATGGTGTTGTCATGGTGCTAATGGCCAGCATACGAAGTTTAGATACAATAGATAGTAACGCCTACTTTTATCTTCCATGCTTTACTCGCAGTTTGGACCAGCTTACATTCGGTAGTTACTATCTTAAGTTAAACGAAGATCAACGTGACTATAATTTCCACAAATATGAAATTGTTAAAATGTAAAGAAATAATAAAAGTTTATTAAATATACCTTTATTAAGGCACTTGCAACCGAAATATTACTTAGAAAAATTTTAATAAAGTTCGGTCAATCAGGGTGACTTCTGCACAATCAGAGCAATTTAATATGTTTTCTATTCATTGTTATCCATAAAACGTAACCTTTGATGGTGTTTTTATCTTTTTCAAAAAACATAACTAAAAACTCAAATTAAAAATTTTGTCTTTAATGTTTCCAGTATTTAATTATTATAAATTTCATTACATTTTCCGAATCTAATATTATTAAAACGTGTATATAATGTAAACATCTATATTACTTCTAATTCCATACCAGCCAACTTTTAATCCCTTCCATAATCATTTTTCCCAGTGGTATTAAAATGGAATTAAAACTTCAATTTTAAGCAAACAATTACGTTGTATTTGAGAAAACTTAAATTGGCAACCATGATAGTAGCGCATATTAATATATGTGCTTAATTTTTGTAAGAATAGTGGTGATCAAAATCATCCAAAAATTAAGTTTATAAAAGAAAGAATAGTATATACTTACTACCACTTTAAATATGAAAATAAAATCTTTCGGATAATCCGAAAAAGTTGGCAGGTATGGAATTCTCATATTATTTCATACTTGTTTATAATGTTGAATAGATTTATAATTATATTTACCATTGACTAATGGGACTTCCCCAGTATTCACCCCATATTTACAGACTATGAAATTATCTTCAGCTCTTTAATTGACTTTAACTCATCAAATATGACTGTAATTCTACAGAGGCTTCACTGCCGCCACTCGAATCTCTTCTTTACCATTAGTCTCAATTATTTTAACAGATCAGATGAAGGAGTAAGATGCCCTCTTCGCGGGCAGGTACTCCACGACAAATCCTATCAAATCAAGTCAATATTAAAACGTTGGTCAGTTGTACAACAAATCTAGCAATACTTTCTGCGAAAGGCATGATTTTCATTGAAATGCTAAATAACAGGTCACCGTCAAGGTAAGTTGTCAGGCTATCTATCACTTTTGTAATTCTGCAACTTCAATGAGGGGTGGTAAACTACACATAAAAAGGCAAGACCTCTTTGGCAGCATCGTCAGTAGAAGGGTTGTATTTGCGTTATTGTTCAATGTGTGAATTGAGAATTTTTAACAGATTTCGGTAATGAAAAATAATTGTTAGTTGTTTGGTGTGACATATCATGATTAGAGCTTCGAGTTACAGATGAAGGGGTACGTTGAGGAATAAGTTGACAGCTTATAAGTTCCACTTGTTTCTGAGGTAATTCAATTTTAATTCTGCGCTATCAATGCAGTTTTCTTTGAAATATTGTGCATTGTCATCATTTGTCGATTACATGCGAAGAGTCAAAAGTTCTTCTAAAGTTTCGTCATCTATTTTTTTAATATTATCACTCACTGTACTGGATATTGAGTTATTTTTATTTCTTCAGAGTAAGAGATTTCTTTAACGCAAATCTGATTTTAATTGGCTGACAGTTAAATGAGTCAATGGTTCCACATTCAAGGCATTCAGAATAGTATTCACGTTTGTTGACATAGTGGTGAAGAGAAGTGCAGTGAGAGGAATCTGTTTTGGCGACGTCTATTATCGAGAAGCTTGGCGAGTAAAAAGCAATATTGACTAGATTGAAATTTTAAAATTTTCATGGAAGAAATGTTATTTTTCGTCAGAATAGGGTTACCTGGGTGAGTCGTGGCAACTTCTCCTAGATAAGAGCAGGAATCAGCACGGGTTACCATAAATATCCTTTAGTAGTCCAAACGTAATGACATATTTCGTATTTTCAACCACTGCGCAGCTTAGTACCCTTAACGAAATAAATTTAACGCAGCTTAATACCCTTAACGTTTGTTGACATAGTGGTGAAGAGAAGTGCAGTGAGAGGAATCTGTTTTGGCGACGTCTATTATCGAGAAGCTTGGCGAGTAGAAAGCAATATTGACTAGATTGAAATNTTCAAAAATAAAAAATAAAAAGTTTATTTTTTTGCAAAAAAATAAATGAATTAATAAATAATAAATAAAATAAAAGGGAAAAAACAACGGCTGTGTATATACGGCAAAGTTGGAAGACAAGGCGTTTAATTTGCATGAAATAAAGTTGAGAGGGATGAAGATATTAAAAAATATAAATTAATCAAAAATAAAAAACAATGAACATTGGTTAATCTTTTTAAAGCAGAACACGGCAAACATTTGAAGAACTAGCTTACAACTGATAACTTCCGATTTCATGATCGCATACTGTTATAGATGTATGTATTATACGGCAATTTTTTGTATTTTTGTCTTCAATTCATTACAAATTAAAGTGAAGTCAACATTGCTTAGTTTATTCCTATGAAAAAATCTGATTTCAGAACGTGCAGAACTGTTATAGTTATAGAATAGTATATATTTCAGTATCTATATAATTCGGAAAGCAACAATAAAGAATCATCCGAATTGCTTGAAATAATATCCTTTATGTTGATTATTAATGTATTTTTATCGTTTTCTTTGTAAGTATTTCTTTAATTTTGAATGATAAATTTTAACTAGAATTCAGCTATTTTGTTTTTAAGTTACATATTGAAATCCATAACGAGAACATGCAATTATAAAATTTTATTGTGTGATATGTCATCTTACAGTAATTTAGGGATTAGCTATGTATATATTATTTGAGAATAAAGTTTTGGAATTCTCCGGATTTATAAAACAGGTATGTGTTATAATTTTTATAATTAAAAATTTTACTTGTAAATAAATTTTTCTTCTTATTTGATCATAATTTTCTATGCAATGGTTTTCTACGTCCTATTATGAATAAAATAGCATGAAAGCTTTTAATTTTAATGTGAGGAATTTTCAGAATTGTTTCTTTTTTCTTTCATAAGCATTCTTTATGTTTTTTATAAAAACTTAAAATTTTTTATAAAAATTGTTGTCAAAAATCTTTATTTGCAAAATTAAATCATATAAAACTATGAGCTTATGTATATTTTTTGTTTATTTT